AGTTTGCTTCTCCCTCTGACCCTCCCCCCTCTCATGTGCTCTCTCTCTCTCTCTCTCAAATAAATAAATAAAATCTTAAAAAAAAAAACCTTTATATTAGAACTTAGTAGATATTTAATAAATGGTGGTTATTACTATTGCTTTAACAGACCATAAAGAAAACACCTAGACTTTTTTCTGTTTACTCGAATGCTTGGGATTACATTGTCTAATACTCTTCATCATTGCCAATTTTGCAGTCTAAAAGGGACTGCCTAGTCTTTTTCTTGTGTTGTTTTTCTTTCACTTTTCATGAGTGATTTTTTTTTCCACATCAAAGACCTAAACAGACTCATTTAGAGATAACCATTTGCTGAATTAGGTTGATGGGGGAATTCTTTTCTTCCTTCAAGATTCCCCAAAGCCAAAGTTTCTCTGTATCTTTCTTTTTTTTTTTTTCCTCTGTATCTTTCAATCTAGAAAGAGAAGTTTATATATTTCCATTCTGGGTCCCCTGGAAGATCTAAACTTGATTTCCATTTCAGATGCTACAGGGTTCAGAGATCACATTAACTCATGAAAAATCATCCTCCTTCTTACTGAACTGTCAGCAAATGCTCATAAATCTTTTAGTTGAGGTACTCCAGAAATGTAATATATTGTGCCATCCAAATTAGTAAGCAACCTAATGACTAATTTCTCTGGGTTCTTCACCTAAGTGTAGAAATTTCGTTTGGGGAATGTTTGTCTTTTGGGCTGATGGCTGGTTCTGCTTAAGTGACTCTCTTATATACAGTCTTCTTGTTTTCTCCAGGGACAATGGTGACAGATCCAGGCACCGAGCTCCACGCAATGCCCGGATGTCTGCACCTTCACTTGGACGCTTTGTTCCAAGGTAAGAACTGGGTAGCCAGCCTTTGTGAGGGAGCCTTTATGAGAGCCTGGGATTTCGTTTTTAAACCTACTTTCTGGACTTTGGATTCCGTATCTGGAATTATTTCCTGGTGAGCCTATAATCCAGCCCTGCCACTTAAAGACTTGATAGGAGATGATTGGCCACAATGAAAAGAGATAGAAAAGTGCCTGGGGAGTATCCTATTCAAGATTAGAAGCCTGCAAAACTGCAGAAGAAAGATCAGGAAGGAGATACAAGTCTGCAGAAGGACAAATTCCAGGAATTTTTATAATGTGCTGGGCTTCTGTGGATTCCTAAGTTTAGTGGATCCCTTAGCCTTGGTTATTGGGGGGTAGGTGGATAGTATATCTCCTTTGTTTTATGGTAGTCTTTCATAGGCTTTTCACATGTGGTTCCTTCTTGTAGGCGTTTCTTGCTGCCTGAGTACTTGCCTTATGCGGGGATTTTTCATGAACGTGGACAGCCTGGCTTGGCTACTCACTCTTCTGTTAACAGGGTCCTGGCAGGTAAGGAAATGTTTCTTCGGATTTTGAAAAGTTGAAGGGGCAGGGAGCCAGATAAAGCTTTCCCCCCCTTTACCTATGTTGATGTAATGGCATCTTGTCATGTGGCTGAATACTCTGTTTTGAGGTCTTGTACCCAGTTCCTTACTTCAAGGCAGGAAGCTAGAATGGAGCGAAGCTGTTTATCTTGCCCATTCCCACTTCCTTCAAATATCTTTTTTTTTTTTAATTGTTTAAACTCTTTGTTTCTTAATCCAGCAATTAGATTCTAGCTATGCTTTTAATTGAATGATAAAGGTGTCTTGTTCATGTTTTGGTTGGTGAGATACTCATGAACCAGATCCTGTGATTTAATTAGGAGCTTAATGCACACCTCTTCAACCCTTCGCTCATCTGCCAGCAGATGGAGTTTCCAGGCACTGTGGAATCTTCCAGGGAAGGAGGAGGAGGAGAAGAGACCCATAAGGCTGGCTCAGAAACCTCAGAAACAGAAAATGGGCTGGACAATGCCAGTTGAGGCAGTTTTATGGTGACTGAATAGCTTAGTGACCGTTTTTGGCCTAAGCTACATGGTGTGACCAGGCTCTCAGACGTAGTATGTGCTGCTGCTTCTGGGCAGTGTCTAGAGAAGGAAACAAAGCAGAATTCTGTTTTTTTCTTTTTTAAAGATTTTGTTTTTTATTTATTTGACAGAGAGAGACACAGCGAGAGAGGGAACACAAGCAGGGACAGTGGGAGAGGGAGAAGCAGGCTTCCCGCGGAGCAGGGAGCCCGATATGGGACTCGATCCCAGGACCCTGGGATCATGACCTGAGCCGAAGGCAGACGCTTAACCGACTGAGCCACCCAGGCGCCCCTGTTTTTTTCTGACAAAGGTTATTTCCCCATCACACTCTTTCCTCCACTTCCCCCTCACCTCCAGTGCCAACCTCTAAATTTATGTATGTGAAGGCATAAAAGGTATAAAAATCAGTCCACGTTTAGGTGTGTCTTTAATAAGCATTTATTAAAAATTTCTTAAAGATACTATGTTTTGGAAAATCTGGGCCATGTAGTGGTTAAAGGTAGGAAGGGATCTGGGTGAGGCAGTAACACTGTCAGCCTGGGAGAATGTGATTTCTAACCAAGCTATGACAGCTGGAAGGCCACAGGATCTCTGGTCTCCCCTAGGTAAGACTATCCTTGACCCAGTGTCAAGGCCTAGAAGTCCTAGAAACCTCAGTGGTTTCTCTGCTAGCCACCAGACTCTTTGTCGGCCCAGGCTTGGCCGGGGAGCAGACTATATCTGGGTCCCCTGACAACCTTGTCTGAGGACCTCTGGCCCTAGTGGGTAAGCAGACGCCATGCCTCGGTGCCTCTCCATGCTTGGTGTTTCTGTGTGGCTTGGCTGATGGCATGTGGAAGCTCCTCACTGGCAGATAATCACTTGCTGCCAGGCAATACTATAGAGCTCTTCTCCACCCTTTGTTCCAGACATCTGCCTGCATCACCCCACACAGCACCTCCTGTTCCTCTACTGCTAGAAAATCTGTTTCCTTGGCATTTAGCTTTGCTTGGGAACAGCTGTATGTTTATTTCTTCCTTAGATTTAAGAACTCTACTGCCATTTCCTGTTTCCTACTTTATGCCCAGAGGTCTGACCCCCAAATGGCCCACTTTCACTTATGGATACTTTTGAATATAGGGGTTGTGTTCCAGCAGGCAGCTGTTAACAGATATGAAATCTACTGAGAAAAGTTCTCAAAGAATGCAAAGTATCTCAAGGGGAAGGAAATCTAGATTCTCAAGAACCTCACTCTTGAATTAGGTTAGCAGATGGTTTCCATTCACAATTAAACCAGTTTCTTCTGTTTTCTCAAGGTACACATTACAGAGAACCTATTGGTCTTTTCGTAAAGGCCCTCAAAGTTTGTAGATAACAGGTTTCCTCTGCTGTCCAAAAGTAGTGTGTTTCTATGAAACCTTATGCAAGCCAAAATGGCGCAAAGCGAAGAAGCAATTACCATTAATTTATATGGAAAACATTTTTAGTATACCCAAACCCAAAAAATAACCTCTCTCAGGCTTTTCTGATACCTTAGGACACATCTTGCTAACAGATGCACACAATAAATTGAGATAAAGCACAGATGTGCTCACAGACACAGTTCAAAGCTATGGCAGCTTGATGCTGAGAGTGCATGCTGCCTCTGTAACAGCTCACTGTAAAGCAAATGCTGAACGCTATTTTCACTTTTCACCTATTTTCATAAGAGTGAAAGTCCTCTTCAGATTTCCTTCAGTTAGTGAAAACAAGGTACTAATGTTGGTCTTTTGTAAAAGTGAAGTGGTGTAACACAAACTTTCAAGAAGTGGGGGCGGGGGGGCGGTACCTGTGTTTGGATGTCCCTCCAGATTCTGTTGACAGCTGTATTACTTCTGTTCGTCTCTTGAGAAAATTCCAAGAATAATAACAACAACCAAAAAAAAAAAAAAGAAGCCTAACATTTATTGAGCACTTGCTGTATACTAGAGAGTATTTTAAATGCTTTTCCAGTTATATTTCATTTCTTTCTTGCAATAATCCTGAGATAGGTACTATTACCTAATCAACAGTGGAGGAAACTAAAGCCCAGAAGGCTAACTTGCCCAGGGTGATACAGCTAGAAGTTGAGGAGCCAGAACTGAACCAGGCAGTGGGACTCCAAAGCTTCCTAGTCTGCCTCCCTACAGTTATTTTAAAGGACAAAGTATCAAAATAGCATGCTTCTTCTAGGACCTTAATCTGGAAGAGGGAAAGAGCTCCCAGGGAAATTGGCTGATTTCCAGGGTTTTTCTTAATTGCATTAATTCCTGGTTTCATTTATTTATTTATTTATTTAATCTTTTTAAAAGATTTTTATCGTCAGAGAGCACGAGCACACAAGCAGAGGGAATGGCAGGCAGAGGGAGAAGCAGGCTCCCCGCTGAGCAAGGAGCCTGATGCGGGACTTGATCCCAGGATTCTGGGATCATGACCTGAGCCGAAGGCACTTAACCGACTGAACCACCCAGGTGTCCCTAATTCTTCTGTTTTAAGCAGTTTCTAGACATAGCTTTTTATGACCCAGTGGTGCTTGCTGAGGAAAATCATTATGTAGTAGCCCTTTCTTTGAGCCTTCTAGCCCTCATGGATGCAGATTTTTGCTTTTTATTAAACTTACTGTGATCATGTAATAGAGCTCCTGTAATAACGGCTTTTGGAGTGAAAGACAAATTGGCCTGTTAGCAGTAAGCACTCCCAGTTTTCCTGGAAAGGCAATTTCACTTGTATGATTGGAATGACGTTGTAATGGTTTCAAAACAATTATATTCAACAGGTATTTGTTGTGTAGCTATGTGCCCGGGACTGTTCTAGGCTACCAGAGTGAATAAGAGGCATGATTCCTGTCCTCCTATAACTCCCAAGTCTAGATGGTTGACCATACCTCAATCTGGCTGTTTGGTTCTTAGCTCCAAACATAAAGCCAAACCTTTTTTCTTTTTTTAAAGATTTCATTTATTTATTTGAGAGAGAGAGAGAAAGCACAAGCAGAAAGAGGGGCAAAGGGAGGGGTAGAGGGAGAAGCAGGCTCTTCACTGAGCAGGGAGCCCGATGAGGGGTTATCCCAGGATCCTGGGATCATGACCTGAGCCGAAGGCAGATGTTTAACAGAATGAGCCACCCAGGTGCCCCAAAGTCAAACCCTTTGAAAGGTGAATGCCTTTTTGCAGGGATGAAGCAAAAACACACCTGCAGTATTTGGAGGTGTGACCAGTACTATGGTGGCAAATGAGTCTCCAGTGGACCCGTAGCCAAAGCCATTCAGTCATCAACAAAAAATGGATTTGCAGAAAATTAAGATCCATTCTACCCACTTCCTCCCACATGAACCTGAGAGTGGTAATAGAAAACAGAAGCTACTACAGAGAAGTGTTTTGATTGTTAATTTCCATCTCTTCTTCTTTATCTTGGTGCCTTCCCCACAATTCTGTAGGTTCCTGGTGGCCTCTAGTCACCCATCAACCCATGCCATGCCCCTTCTTTGGTAACACAAATTCTGAACCTATACTTAAAGTAGTGTAAGTAAATTTAAAGCTCCTGCAACTCTGTCAGGTGTATTTCTGGGGAAACACACAGAAGTCTGGGGAGCTCCCCCTGCTGACTTTTTAGTAGACAGCTCTAGCTCTGTGCAGTAACAGCCACTGATAATAAAGAAGGACATAAAGTTAATGACTGCCTGTAGTGAGCCACGTGCTGTCCTAAGTGCTTTCCCATATATTACCTCCTGTAATCATTATGGCAACCCTGTGAAGTAGATCATGCATTTCCGTTTTGCAGGGAAGAAAACTGACATTCAGAGAAGTTAGGTCACTTGCCCAATATAACACAGTGAGAGGCAGACCTAGAACTTTAAACCAGGTCTGTCTGCCTGACTCATAATCTTCTGTGCCATGTTTTGCCTGAGTTCAAGTAGGGGGTATCTGCCAAAAGGCTTGTAAGCTTACAATTTTTTCTGCATGTTTGAAGCCTCATAAAAGTGAAATGAGAAGCCCTGGCAATTACTGGAAGAACAAAAAACTTCTGAGGGATAGAGACCTGGGTAGTGTAGGGTATTAGTTATATGTCCTGCCTAATCTTTTTGACTTTCATCCTAATGAGCATCTGTTCCCAGCAGATGTGGACCTGATGTACTTAATTTAGTGTTTTGATTAAAATCAATGGGAAGTGTCAGGGTTTTCTTGCTCCTTGCTGCAGGTCATTGGGGCCTGGTCGAGTGTCCTGGGCTATAGATGGCTTTGTGCCCAGGCATCCTAATTTTTCTCTTATGATTTCTTCTTTGACCCACTAGACGTTTAGGAGTATGTTCTCCAATTTTCACATATTTGTGAATTTCCCAAATTTCCTTCTGTTGTTGGTTTCTTATTTAATGTCACTGTGGTATATGATTTCAGTTATCTTAAATTTATTGAAACTTGTTTTATGGCTTAGTACATGGTCTGTC